TAATTAAAAAATAGAAAGAAAAAATATATTTTGATAAAAATGAGAATCAAATGCTTTTAATAAAATTAATCAAACGAATTCATTAATCAATATCATAAACCTCAAGTGAGTTTACTCCAACCATGCTGCACGCTGCCCTACGGAATAAATGCCTTTCTGCAAGGCTTTCGAGTCCGAAACAGAAAATCCCAGGTCAAAATTTAGAGCGTGATGTTCCATTCTTTCATAAACTTTAATGAAAGAAGAATGTCTGTGGAGTAAACGTGCCAGAAGGAGCGTGAATCATCAGAATACCTCGAAGATCTAAGAATCAAATGACGTGAATGAGCAGGGTGGTTGTTGTGTGGACCGAGGTGGCGGCCCAAAATTCAACGGCCAAAGTTCTTTCGCATGGTTTATTGTGTACTCGACAGTCCATTCACTTTTCCCCTTCTCTTCCTTCTACCAGAGTTGAATATTTTGTCCCTTATTTACTGTCCTGGAATTCCCATGTCACTTCTTTTTTACAAAGGTAAAAGCTTCAAAATTAAATATATTGAGTTGTCAAAATGTGTTTGCAAATCAATAGTTGAGAAAGCAAATCTGAACTCTCTAGTTGAGTCTTGAAATTTTTCATTAGGATATTGTCCTAATGAATAGCTTCAATGCAAGAATGGGTTAGATTTATTAAAATTATTAATCTTATCAATAAAGATAGTCAAAAATATTTTATGTTTGTTATAATCAATAGAGTAATAATATTTAGTATAATTGATATTAAAACATCAATTTAGGTGACGCTGATGTGACATTAAATGAGAATTACACTTTAACGAGTAACTTAATTTCACATTTTATTGAATCTATCACATAGCACCACCTAAACTGGTGTTACAGTCCGAGTGACGTTAGATAGCATACTTCTAATCAATATTTACTCAGGAGGTTAGGGATTCATTTGAGAACATAAATTTTGAAATTTTGGTACTCGTTTGAATTTAAGCCAAAACTTAAATCCATCTTTATAGAACGAAATGTGAGTAACTTGGACACTTATGTCAGTTATACTGTGGATAATCAATTAAGAGGGTGTTTGGTAGATATTTTTATGTAAAAATGCATTTTTGAATAGTAAATTGATGGGAAATGTGTGGTTGAAAAATAAGAAAAAGTTTTTGATTTACGTGTAATATTATTTTAATAAAGAATGTGTGGTTAAAAATAAGAGAGAAAAAAATGCATTTTAAAAAAAAAGGGGTACCAAACAGGCTCTAATATGTGATTTATCATGTTGAAGAATATTAATCTTGAAATTCAACAATTTGTTTAAAAATTTCAAAGTTCATTATAAATATTGAATGTCAAAGATACTTACTTAAAACTTGATTAAGTTTTTGTCCAACTTAATGTTTAGAGATTCTAAATTGATATGTTCATTGAAATCAATAGTTAAAAAGGAAATAAAAATCGCGAGTTCAATAAAATCAATAACTAAAAATGAAGTAATGAAATCTATAGCCAAAAACGAAGTTTGACATATTTTTAATACTAATCGTAGCTGAACGTGTGTTGCACGTTTTTTTTGAAATGTTTTATAAATACTGTAAAAGTAATATTTGAAAATATGTTAATAAAAAAATAGTAAAAAAATCATTTATAAAAAAATGAACTTTTTATTCAATGAAAATCTTTTTGTACACTAAATTTTTTGTGTGATTAATGGTATTTAACTTAATTGAAACCTTTGTAGTTGTCGTATAACTTTGGACATTTAATTGAGATTTGATGTCCACGTGTATTCACATAGAAAAATTTCGTAAATTATTTTACTTCCAGTTTGAAGAAGATGAACAGAAAAAAAAAATTAAATTAATAATTGTATATTGTGATTACGATTAAGGACATTTTATGGATAATGTAATTACAAAATAAATAGTTATCGCATTAGATGTATTACTTTTTTGTCAACTAGAATGAGTCTCAAAATATCAAAATTTCCAATATTGTTGGAATAAGTTTCAACCAAATCCTTTTGAACTACCATCAACATAATGGACCATTTATTTTCATATATCGATAAGTCTTTTATGATATTTGATTCCATGATGCGAGAGAGTAAAATATTTGATGATTTAAATGAAATAACACCAACTTGTGAAAATAGTTGAGAAATTAATTCATTTACATCTAACAATCATGAGAACGATTGAATACATTCATGAACATGAAATTTAATTAATTTGAATTAATGAATATAGAAAAATAATAATTTATACCACATGATGTTGAAAAAGAATTTAGACAAAAGAGTTTGTTTGTGAACTTGAATAATAAATTCATATCATAGATTAAATGAATAATCTTGAAAATAAATAAGTGTACATAAACTTGAATAATTTATTTACTCGTAGAGTAATTGAATAGCCCCCATAACATATAAAACATAGTTAATTTGCACCATCTTGATTTAAATATGGGAAAATGCAAGCCCTTGAAAATAAATATTAATTATTATACATGCATCTAGATAGTGAAATGCATAATTGAATGTTAAATCTATATTGAAAAATGAAAAGTAAGATATTATTGAAATAATCGAATTGTAATTGGACTAGAAATATTCAAAAAATGATTCCCACTTGATGTAATATTTAATATATTATAGACAATGAAAATTTTGTTAGATTAGGCTGAGAGGAGCATGTCAAGTGTACGTGAAACTTTCTCAATGTCTCGACATGGCTAAAAATTAGATTTTTAATAAATTTTAATAAAAATTAATAAAATATATGATTAAGAATTGATTAAAAAAACTGTGGATAGTGTGAAATATATGTTTAAAATTAATTATTAACTATGAAGTAAATTTTAATCAACTTTTTAAGCTACACCAAATAGTATGTGAAATATATCTCTATATAAATTAAATAGCTTTTATTTGGTGAGAATTAAAATTAAATGTTTAGTAAATTTTGGTAAAATATGTAATTGAAAAGTTATGATTCAGATTAAACATATGATTAAAATTAAATATCAACATTCACTTAGACTATCCTACCAAACGGGGCCTAAAATCGAACGTTGGTTTGTCTGTTTCTCTTACTGTCTCTATGTCCTGATCCATCACGTGACCCACTTTTTATAGAAAAGCCATAGCGGCAGGCCGAACCCCGAAACACACCCCTCTCTATTTACTCGCTTAATAGTGCTACAGCTACTGTTCCTCTATGCGCCTGCAGGTTCTTCTCTCTCTCTCTCTCACACACAAACAGTCACAACTGAAAAGGGTTACTAGGGTTTTGTTTATTTTTGTTATACAAAAGTGGTACATTTTTTCACCCATTTCCCGCTACTGATTGTACAGTATGATATTTGTCGATCGTACAGTCCTATTAAACTCGGGTTGTGCTATTTGCACCCTGTGCAAGGAGGATTACCCATTAAACTCTTTGTGTGAAACGGATCCGAAACGGTGAAGGAAGGTCACAGTCAAAGTTGCAGGGACTATAGAGATAGATACATACGGCTGATATATAGAGAGAGAGGGAGAGAGAGAGAGTGTGTGTGAGAGAGAGAGAAATGTGGTATAAAGGTGAGAGGCATGCAGTCTCACCTTATGCCGATGCAGCCCATGATGGCAGCCTACTATCCCAGCAACGTCACTACTGATCATATTCAACAGGTTTTCCTTCTTTCGTTCTTCTTCCTTTTCTTCTCTGTAGATTTCTGTTTAAACTTTTCTTCTGCTGCTATTTCTTTTTCACTTGGCCACTCTGCCATTTTACCTGCTGCTTTCTTCCCCTTGACTGTCACCTTTATTTTTGTTCCGTTTCTACTTGATTTGGTTCCTTTTGTTTCTGCTGGATAATTTGTATTTGGTGGGGTTTCGTTTTTGCAAGTCCTACAATTGAAGCAGAGTCACTGATATCATGTAATGATTCAAAACTGTACCGTCTTTGCTGCTGCATAATCAGAATCCAAAATAGTTTATGCAAAATGCAAGAGCTAATAATAATATATGTCCACTTTGCTTTTGTACCTTGTTAATAATTTATAAAGTCCCCTCACACACAAAAAAGGGTCCTTAACAATCCTTTATAAATCAGGAATGATGACTGTCGACCTAGTTGTAACGGCCAAATACTCCAATCTTCTCGCCATTTCTACATATAGCTCCCATATATAACATGACCTTGTGTGCTAGATTCTTTAATGAGAAGAATAGTAAAAAAGAGTTTTATAGAAAAACTGGGATGCAACTTTCTAATGTTTGTATGGTTAACACTGCTTGTTATGTAACTTGGGAAACTTTCTTTTTCAGTCAATAATGACACTATTTTTCTGTAAAGCCCATTACAATGACATTCTGATCCTTCTCCATCCTAACAATCTTGAATTCGGAGGACTCAGTGACTAAACTTCGAGTCTGTGAAATCTTCAATGACAATTTACCAAAATTGATGGCTTAATGCATGTATTACTAGAAATATGTGCTGTGTTTCTGATTTTCTGCTCTTATAATTGGGACTAAGTTTAGTATCTTGAGAGCCGCGTAACCAATATTTCCTAATTTTGTACTACAGGAACAAAAATAATCCATATCTGGCCTTTCAAATTCAATTTTGTAATAATAAATATGGGCGATAAACTTAAAACATGTTTATGTTCACATCACTCATTTGCAGTGATTAAACTAGTATTTTGTGAAGCCTCGCTATTGTTACTTTGTATATACTGGAATAGGACTGGAATTTTGATTAATGGTTGTTCCTTATGGTAAATGTTGATTGACTCAGTTGTTTTTTGGTCCGTATCTATTTTGCCTTCAACTTGTGCATTTTGCCAGTGATCCTGTCCACTGGTAAATGATTTTATATTATCTGCAGTATCTGGATGAAAACAAGTCGCTGATTCTGAAGATTGTCGAGAGCCAAAACTCGGGGAAAATGAGTGAATGTGCAGAGTAACTACTCTTTAACCCTTTTTGTTTCCTTTCCTTTCCCGATCTCGTCTACACTGGTTTGGTTTATACAGGTTTTAATCGAGATAATGTTTTTCGTCTTGCACTGGCTTCTCTAAAAAACTAGTTAAGTCCACGACCGTATTAGAGGTTGTTATTGTTAAATCATTTGATCTAAAAGCTTAAATTTTGCAATTTAAATATTGGTTTTTTTCAACACCGTCTTGTGGGCCTATCATTTGCACAACTTGTTTAATAGGTGACAGCGAGACTAGAACTCAGGTCCTTTGTCATTTCTAATGCCAATTGGGATCAATCATGCATTACTTTGTTGGAGCATTTTTTAAGAATGTCCAATTTTAAGGGTATGAGTTGAAAATTATTCACTTATTTGAATTTAGTGCAAATTTGTCTATTATGTCTTTAATGAAAAGTTATATTTTGAAATGGTATTATCGACATTTTAAATGTCGAGAATTTTTTTTATTAATTTGTCATGAATTTTGAGAATTGGCTTCCATGAGAAGCTATATTAAAATAATGTTTCTCGACATTTCATATGTAATTCTTGACATTTGAACACCTTTTCATTTGTTTAAAATGACATTTCATTTTGAACATGACATTTCTCTACATTTAAAAATGTCGTTCTCGACATTTCTAAATCAATAAAAAACATTAGTATTTATTGTGATTCGACATGTATACTTTTTGAAATAAATATGGCAGATTATGTGTCAAAATTTTATTGGCCAATAACAATATTGCAAAAATATCCATTTTTTTGTCTTAGTGTGGAATTATAAATTGTTAATAATGGTATTTTGGTCTAAATTCTTCCAAATTAGACATTTTTGCAAATGATTAGGTAAAAATGGACATTTTGTGAAATTTCCTCTATTTTGTTGTTTTGTTGAACTAAAAATTTTAGGTTACATAGAACTTGTACGTTTTTCATGTAAATAAATATTTTCGTGTCTTTGTATGATATTTGGTAGGAACCAGGCTCGGTTGCAAAGAAACTTGATGTATCTAGCTGCGATTGCTGATTCACAACCTCAACCACCTAGCATGCATTCTCAGGTACTCGGCTGCAATGTCTTTTCAGTAAAAGGAAATTGTAGAGCAGAATGAATCATATGTTTGAAATCCGACCTTTGATTTCACATTTAATATACTGAATACTTCTTTTTGGACCCAATATTACTTTTTTTCTTGAAACCACGACTATAAATAAGTTAGATTCCTCTTTAACAACTTAAACTTTTAGATGAGATAGTTTAATATGATATCAGTAGTAGCTACCCTCCTATTATGAAAATTATCTAAGTCACACCTTTAAGGAAACATGGTTCGACATGTTTTAAAACCGCTATTTCCAAAAACTGTGAGTCTTTTTATTCTGATATTTTATCATAAAGTATGATTTTTCTCTGGTGCTGTCTTGCAGTATCCCGGTGGGATTTTGCAGCCTGGTCCACATTACATGCAGCACTCACACGCTCAACAAATGACACCTCAATCACTTATGGCTGCTCGATCCTCTACGCTATACAGTCAGCAGCAATACTCAGCATTTCAACAAGAAGCTTTGCACAGCCAACTCGGAATGAACACTGGAGGAACCAGTGGACTTATGCTCCAAGGGGAGTCCCATGGTGCTGGAGGTAGTGGCGGACTTGGAGGTGTAGGATTTCCAGACTTTGGTCGCAGCACCACCGGGGAGGGGCTGCATGCCGCTGGAAGGGCAATGGCAGGTGGAGGTAAGCAAGAAATGGGCAGTAGTGGGCCTGCAGAAGGACGCGGTGGAAGCTCAGGTGATGGGGGTGAATCTCTCTACTTAAAAGATGCCGATGATTGAAAGAATTCAAGGCAAATAAGGTCGATCAACGTAGTTTTTTCTCCTGTTAACTCGGGAGTGTTGAATTAGGTAACCGCTATCCCAGAAACTGAAGAAGGTTGCTGTTGTTATGGACCTGTAATCTATTTATCAAGGAAAGAACTGGATTTTTGTGTATGTGATAAAATCATGTATAATTTTAGTTTCTTCTATTATGTGTTTTGGTCAATCTTGTCTCTTTTTCATGGATAGAGTGTTGCCAAGCTTTTCTTGGACTATGAATACGAACTTTGTTGCCTAGCTTTTCTAAACTAACCTAATGTAATATAAATATTAAGATGATTAAAAATAAAAATCAAAGAAAATGCAACTAAATCAAGTGATACAAAAAATAGGGAAAATTAACTGATATAATTTTTTAAAAATAATTATGTAGAATTTTGGATTTGCATGTAATATTATTTTATCAATGAATATGTAGTTGAAATAATGTCGTGATAATATTTAAGAATGCATTTTTTTTCAAAGAATTGGCTCGGGCATAATAGTTTCTCAAAAAACTAGAGGGGAGGCTTATATAAGTTTTATAGAATGAATGGTATCTCTCTGTTGGGCATTCTTTTGTAATAATCTCTAAGATGATTAGTATATGTAGTGGAGGCATAAACGATGAACAAACACGCTATCGAAATTTCGTTTATTCCGAATGAATATTGTGAGAAGATTGATATTCTAGTTTCTGTTGATTCTGATAGAAAATAGGTAGGTATCAATAACTTGTTAATTCCCAAACAAATACCGAGTATTTGAATCTAAAATTGGTGAGAAAACTCTTTAACAACTTCAAGTATTTAATGAAAATGCTCCCTACCTCCCTGGTAACTACTACTTATTGGAAAAACTAGGGGTTAACACGGTTCAGTTTGAGAGGTTTATGCTATATTTTTAACTTAAACCATTTTTAGCGGTTTGAAATTTTTTCAAACCAAATCAAACCAAACCATAATTTGCGGTTTGGTTCGATTTTAATCCGCGGTTTACCTTTCGACATTATAATAATGTATTGAACATGGTTAAATATAAGTGTAAACGAGAACTAATAATGTTAAATATTAAATTACATTCATATTTACCATGGAACACATGCATAAATTATTTTCAAAATTGGTTACTAAAAGATGTTAATAGAACAAATATATCTTTCTTCATTTTTATTTATCTTTTCTTGTTTAACATTCATATTGTTATATATCGATGGTAAATGTAGAGTTACATTCTATTATTATAGTTTAGTTAAAACTCATTTTCGTTTTGCTAGTGAGATGTAAAGTAAAAGAAGTAATACTAGTTAGGGAACTTTAACTTTTTTCACACAATCAATACGCTTTGTCATTCGTTCTTTTCAAATAAAAAACGAGTTCATTAATCATCTAGGCACACAAACTGTAGAATCCCGAATTTTTAACTTAAATTCGCATATATTTTTATTTGTCATTTAATAGGAATGCAATGTTTGGTTAAGTTCTTATGCAAGTTAATTGATTATCTCTATAGTTATCTTATTAGTTAGGGACCAAATTAAAAAAAAAAAAAATATCAAATTATTTTATACTTTATTAAATGGGCCAAATAGTTAACTATTGAAGGAGTTAGAATTACTCTACCAATATTAGGTTCATTTTGAAGCTCATAATAAATGACGAATTATGGACTCAAGAAAAATTTAATTTGGTCAAGTTACTTCAATTCAGGCTCATTCGGGAGAAATCATGATACATTTTAAGGCACAATTTAGCCTTCACGTTATTTTGCAGCGCTCGCTACAATTTTCAAGTTATGGTGTGATAATTCTCATGTTATGTTGGTAAGATAATTTATTTGTAATTTCATGTTTGACTTGAATGTGGAGTAGCAAGTATCTCATTGAGTATAATTCGTTATACTCATCCCCTTATTTATAATTCGTTATACTCATACCGTCGTATCATATCTTTAGAACCGGTAAGAGCCCATGTCATATCATATCATATCATCTCTTTGGTACCGGGTTGCCATTTCAAATATCATAATCATATCATAATTTTCATGAGTATAACATTTATCAACATAAAGAAATAATTTAAACGAGACGAACCACTTGCACATCGTAATCCTACCTCGTAAGATTGAATAAATTCTTGAAAGAAGAAATCCAAAATTATGTTCCAAATCTTGTAATTTTTTTCTTGGTTGCCTTAGCGTAAAAACTGCCTTTGGAGACCTTTTTTGTTCATTATTTATGCTGGAGACAATTACCCAATTTGAAACATATACATATGCATATACATATGCTACGTGGAGTATTTTGGTGCAAATAGAATTCTAGAGTGGTGAAAACGTGTGCCACAAGAAACTTGGATAAAGGCCTCAAATGATAAACTTATCCAAATAATTTAGGAAGATAGTTAAACATTTCTTATGAACGTGAAACGTGGCTGGTGGTGGAAAGTTATAATATATATTATTTGTGATTAGGATGGATTTAACAATAACCAAGTGGAAGGCTCAAAGACAAATATCCATTAAATTAATTAAAATACTATAAAACATCAATTTCTTTAAATGTCAATATCTTAGGCTTAAATTATCTAAATCAACTTTTTCTCGAGCCTAACATGCATGATTAATTACGATCTATCCAACGAGCCCAATATTCATATACAAATTATTACTCCGTCAATATCTATATTTTAACCCAAATGAAATTGAAATTTGCTATATACATTTTAGTCCCTAACTTTTCGAAATATTAAAATATAGCACACATAACTTAAATTCTATTTTATGAATTTTCGGGACATTACATAAACATTCTTGGAACTGATTTCCTGAGAATCGGCAATTACCCAGGAAATTGAATGGGTTTCTGAATGTGTGAAAATATTATAATTTAAATCAACATTGACTTAATTATACCCATTTTTGGAAGAAGAAAAAGGAAAAAAGAAAAAAGGTTATCCCCATTTTAAAGGTTGTTTGATTCCTCAGTTGCTTTATGGGATCAATATTCGTATGTTCAACTTGTTTTTAAAAGATTTATGAACTATGGAAGATGGAGAGCTGTGAAGATTGTCTCACAACATGGAAGTATTGTATGAGACTGAGAGCTATGGTCGTTAATCTGGAGTGGTTAGATTTTCGATTTGAATTGTACGGAATATTGATCAAAAACTTGTGCCGAAATTACTTGAACTTATTCTATATAGCATATTAACCTTTGCTTGTGCTGTGCTTCTTACCTTAATGCCCACTTCTCAACAGTCCTACATTTTGGAGAATTTAGCCTAATTTCAAGTTGGAGTTTAATGTGTATCATCAAAACATGAAGAAAAAATAACAGGAAAATAGTTAAGAGATAAACTATAGGCCAATAGCAGATAATAACACTGGCATGATCAAGAATTCTAGTAGGTGAATTCACTATTCTAAGGACAGCTGAGTATATTGAAATATTTTTTAAGGGAAATGATCAATTCTGGCTAGAATTTCATACAATGAAGCTATTTAATGTAATATATCATCAAAATGAGTATACGAGTACTTATAATCTCATAATCACCAAAAAATTAAAGTTAAATGTGTTTTTTCTTTTTTCTAAAGTGGGCTTTAACTACCGTTCGACGTCTTCCATTTAAAGTAAAATAGTTTCTTCTTTTGGAAAACCTGTTCGAGCTTTTGTTTGTTAAGTACTTTAGTAGGTAATATAGTTTTTACCTATCAAAAAAAAAAGTAGGTAATATAGTTTTCATCTCTACGAATATGAGAGGAATTGAAATCCGTCCCCCCCCCCAAAACCCACAAAGCAAAAATATATTTATTTTACCACTATAGATATTTGACCAAATAGGATCATCCTGACTTTCACTTTTAACATTAATATATAAATATTTGAGATTCGAGACTTCCTTTTCCTCAGAATGCATTAATTACCTGCAGTGAATTGCAAAATACCATGCACTGTACATTTCATGCTATTTCAACTCTTAATTGCTCCTGAAGAGCCATTTGGATGAAGTACATTGAAGATGACACGAAATTGTAGTAATTAATTTAGGTAATCTATCTTATTGGCTAACTGAAAACTATATGAAATAGGGAGACAAACCACATCCTTCTTAACATAACATTGAGTTTGATCAGACACCCTGCCAAGCAAAAATACATTTATTTTACCAACATAGGTATTTGACCAAATAGGATCATCCAGACTTTCACTTTTAACACTAGTATATATATATATATATATATATATATATATATATATATATATATATATATCTGAGATTCGGGACTTTCTTTTCCTTTGAAGGCACTAATTACCTGTAGTGAACTGTTGAAAAATACAACCATGCTCTGTACATTTTTTGCAATTTGCAGCTCTTAACTGCTCCTGAATAGCCATTTGGATGAAGTACATTGAAGATGACACGAAATTGTAGTAATTAATTTAGGTCGTTATATCTTATTGGCTAACTGAAAACCATATGAAATATGGAGACAACCCACATCCTTCTTAACATAACATTGAATTTGTTCAGACACCCTGCCAAAAGCAGTTGAATAGTTGTGGAGAAACTGCCCAAACTCCTGTTTGGCTTTACAAGTTTCAATGAAAAACATGCAGTTTCTGTACTCAGAAATATTCCCCTGTGAAACTATGCAGTCTAATTTAGCATTTCCTTTAGAAGTTCCACATTTCTTCTTGTGTAACAAGAAGTACCTTATTAACTGAATGTTACTTCAATTCTTACAGGGCACAGTGGTTAACATAATTGTTGGCTCTCACGTCTGGGCTGAGGACCCTGCAGTAGCTTGGATTGATGGACAGGTAACCAAAATTCAAGGCCAAGAAGCTGAGATCGAGACAAGTTATGGAAAGAAGGTACATTTTGTACCAATGTTAACCGTTTAAATTATTGCTACTTGTTCCTTTTATGTAATGGTACTGTGATTTGAAAGAAGATACAATTGGCTACTCTGTTTTATACCCATAGGGCACAAAATGACTCATCTTAGCTGTCTATATACATGTGAATTTTATCTACTCTAGATGGTTTGTCCACATTTTTCTTCTAAAAATTCCTGGAGTTTGATTAATTGCTAGAATGCTTTGTTGTCACAATACAGTTTTATTGGAAGTGTCACCATTGTCTGTAATTCTTCCAATAACTTTTTTATCCACAATCTTTC